CGTGTGTGTGTGTGTGTGTGCGGGAATTCATTAACCCGTGTGTGTGTGTGTGTATGCGGGAGTTCATTAACCCGTGTGTGTGTGTGCGGGATTTAACCCGTGCGCGGGAATTCATTAACCCTGTGTGCGGTAATTAACCCGTGTGTGTGTGCGGGAATTCATTAACCCTGTGTGCGGGTATTAACCCGTGCGTGGGAATTCATTAACCCTGTGTGCGGGAATTAACCCGTGCGTGGGAATTCATTAACCCGCGTGTGTGTTAACCTGAGCGCGGAGGAATTCATTAACCCTGTGTGCGGTAATTAACCCGTGCGTTCGGGAATTCATTAACCCCCGTGTGTGCCGTAATTAACCCCTGTGCACCCACATCCCCAGCCCCCACGTGGTGCTGAGATTCTCTCCGCCCTCCACCATCCCCTTTCCATGCCCGCAGCTCCCGGAGCAGCCGCAGCCGGTGCGGCCGGGCCGGCTTTGCTGGCTGTGGAAATGCTTTGTCTGAACTTCCTGTTTTCTTGCACGCACATGTGCAGGGGCTTTGCCAGGAACTCGCCATTCCCATGCTCCGGCAGGAGCTGCAGAGCATCAAGACAATTTAATTCCCACAGGTGGTTTGGTCTGCAGGGTTGGCCTCTGTTGGAATGGGCCGCATAGTTTGGAAAAGCTGTAATTCCTCTCGGTCAGGGTTGTGTAGGTGATAAGAGCAGGGTAATCAGCATCAACTCTGCTCAGCAGGGAAAGAACTGGAAACTTCCCTGCTTGTTGAGTTGGTTTTCTCTGAGGTTTATCCCAGAGAAAGCTCTGGGTACACAGGGAACGTACCAGATAAAAATTCTCTGGGTTTTCTGGTATGTTGGGTAGGATGACTTGGAAACACCTGGATTCAGGAGGTGATTCTGGTGCTGGATCTATGCTCCAACATACATGGAGAAAAATTTCTTTTTTGCCCCCTCCTCAAAAACTCTCTGCACTTTTTATCTGCACAGAAAAACCTGCTCTGAATGTTCCTTTTTGTTTGAGTTCATGCAGAAAGATCCGTTCAGCCACGAGTTGTGTTACATAAGGCCTTTACCAGAGGTTTATTCAGTCCCTTTTGGATATAGCTTTTATTAGATTTTTCCATTTTCCTGATCCCTTCCTGCACCCCCTTCACACCAGCAGCATTCCTGCAGGATCTGGAATCAGATGGTGCCCTGAGAGGCAATTAACATGTGGGTGGGGGCGTGCACACCTCGGGAATGATCTTCTCCAAGGAATATGTTGTTCTGCAAGTGACAGGTCTTGGTGTTCATCCATGGCATATGAGAGCTGTTAAGCAGCTCATCCCAATTCCAATTCCATCAGGAAGGATTTGAGGGAAAAAAAAAATCATCCTTTTCTGAACTGGTGTGTAAAATAAAATCAGGAGGCTTTTGCTGTGATGGGTTTATTCAGCCTTTCCAGTCATTTTAGGGGGAGTATGATGGATTTTGTCCTTTTATTTCACCCTGGATTTTTCTCTATAAAAAGAAGTTTATATTTATCACTGCCAGCTTGATTCCAATGGATCATCAGGTTCCAATGTAGTAGGGGAGAGAGGGCAGCAGAGGGGCTAATGGATCTCATTCCTTCAGGGAAAAAAACCCAGCAAATTCCATCCCCTGTGTTACAGTCAGAGGTCTGTACAAGTATCTCTGCAATTTTAAGGTTTTGTCCAGTAATGAAAATGGAAGTTGTGCTGGGGATCACCTGTTCCCAGCTGGTTGGGATGATCCCTGTGGATCCCTTCTTCTTGCCCAGCAGCTCTTCTCTCTCTGGACAGCAGCAGGGCTTTACCACTTTATCCAGAGCCCTCAGCCTCTGGGATACCCACTGGCTTTCCTGCAGTTGGGAAGGAGCAGGGGGATGAAATGCTTTGGAAATCGTGTTTTAGAAAGGAAAAAAAAACAGTGACTCTGTCCCTTTTTAATTGTAATGTCATTTCTGGGACACATATCCATGGAAATGCTGGAGCTGTGCTGCACTTCCAGCTCTGAGTGATGGGATTTTGCAGGTTGGGTTGGCTGTGAGGACTGTTTGTGTTGAGTTTTTTTTTTTTAATTCCTTTTTAAAGCCATTCTGTGGCAGCCTGGGATGCAATCATGGAATCCTTCAGGTTGGGAAAAAACCTCCAAGCTCATCAAGTCCAACCTTTGACCGAGTGCCCCCATTCCCACTAAACCACATCACAAAATAACTCAGTTCTTGTGTTTTAACATTTCCAGGGATGGTGACTCCCCCACTTTCCTGGGGAGTCTCTTCCAGTGGAGAAAATTTCCCCAATATCCAATGTCACAGCCCTGCAGCTGCCGAGGTGACAAGGAGAACGGGAGCACTGCTGAGGGGTTCTTGGAGAGCACAGTGGTGTCTTTTTGCCTGATTTTCCAGAGGATCTTTAGGGAATTACACTTCCTAATCTTCCAGATTAGTTCTGGATGCCTGGATTGGCCTGTGGGGTGGTTGTTGGGCATGGGCAGGAGCTTCCATTTCAGCCCAGTTTTCTCCCAGTTGCCTCCTCCAGGCCCAGCTGCTGCAGCCAGAGATGGAAGTGCTCAGAAATTCAATTTCCCTGGATGAAATTTCGGAGGTTTTTTGTAGGGAAAATCTACAATTTAAAGAAAAGAAGAGTATTTTCTCTAGCAGAGAAAAGGTGCAGTCGGTTGGGGTTTCAAACTTTGCAGTTGTGACCTGATTTCCTTCCTCAAACTTGTGCAGAGTGAGGGGGGAGCTGCTTTGGCTTGTGCAACTCGATGCCACTTCCCTAATTTAAATGGAGATTTCAAGGAGCACAGCCATGGGCTGGGGAAGCAGCTGTTCTCCCTGATATTTTTACCATAATCCATGAGCTGTTTCCTGCCACCAAATGCCCTTTTCTGGCAGAGGAACGATCACAAGACACTCAAATTAATTCATAGAACTCCCACTTTTAGGAACAGTTTTCTTGTGTTTCTTATCCATCCCTTTTGGATTTAATTATATATTTTTTCTTCTCATCTGTCACTTTTTTTCTGATCTGAGTTTAATATTTCTGATGATTTAACTTTTTTTTCTGATCTGGAATACATGAAATACTTAATTTAATAATTAAAATTAATTTAATAAGGCAAATTCGCCCCTTGCTGAAACAACTGAATTTTGAGTGTGTGTTCAGTCAACAACAACTTTATTAAAAATCCTCAAATTCACCTTTTGGACCAACACTTTAAAAAATACCACTCCAGATTTCAAAAGTTATCAGGAATGTGTCGAAACACAGCCCCAGTGGATTATGAGAAGGATTGAATTTCTTGAAGTTAATTTTAAGCTGTGTATCAGCACTTGAGATTTATTTAAAATCCTCTCCTAATTATAAGATTACATTTTACAAATAAATAAATAAATCCCCAAACCTGGGAGCATTAGAGTAGCATGGAAACACACCCAGCTGCCAAACCTCGTGGTGTTCTGGAATTGGAAAAGAATTGTGTTGAAAACCATGGGATTTGGTGATTTTTTTTTTTTTTTTTGCACCCTGGTGGGGTTTTACAACCCTACTGCAGCTTTCCTGGATTTTCCCTTTTGCCAAATCCTCTAAAATACTGATTTTTCAAGTTTTTCTGAGCAGGGTACAAAGCTGGGGATTGGGATTCCCTGCTCCAGGGTGGGGGGAAACGCTGGCGGGAGGAGGAATCCGGTGGATGGAATTTGCAAAAGTGAAGCTGAGAGATGCTAAAAAAACCCATCCCCGAGTTCACAGGTGCCCATCCCTCATCGTGAGGGGCGAGCCCCGGGGTGGTGCCGTGGGTGGCTGTCCTGTGCTGTCCCCACCGTGCCTTGGGAGGGTCTCTGATGGAGGTGTTGGTGACGAGGGGCGGATGCGGCGCCTTCGGGGCCGTGGCTCAGGAAAGCACCGTGGTTTCCTCTGCTCTGCTGAGGCTCTTTGGTGCCTCTGACCACAAGGCTGGAGCTTCTCTCGAAGGGCTGGGGCTCCTGCTCGCCCCACTGGGGCCTCCAGCAGCATCTTCATGTCCTTATTTAGGCTCGTTTTTGGTGGTTGATGCTCATTTTTGTACGTGCCCAGAGGTGGCCAAGGAAGGACCTGATGTGGCACTCGGGGTGACAAGGTGGGGGTTGGTGACAGGTTGGATGATCTTGAGGACCTTTCCATGCTGGATGATTCTGGGATTATTCCTGGAGCCTGATGAGCACCAGAGTCTCTCCTCTCATGTGAAGATGTTGATGCCCCTGGGCTCTTCCTCTGCCATATCCCAGGGAGCTGCAGTGTGGGACATCTCCTGCTCTGTTTTGTCCTGTTTTCCTTGGTTTGATAATTCTTTGTGGATAAAAAAAACCTTGAGGTTGCTGCCTCTCCCACACTGCTGCTAAATAACATCTCCTTTCCCTGTCCTGCCTGTCTGTTCCCTGTTGGAAATGGGGTTTGGTGTCACTGTCCTGGTGCAGGCAGGGACTGGGGGATGTTTGTAGGGGAATTCTGCCCCTCTGCCCTGCTCAGGTGAGACCCCACCTGCAGAGCTGCCTCCAGCTCTGGGATCCCAGCACAGGAAGGACATGGAACTGTTGGAGAGAGTCCAAAGGAGGCCATGGAGATGCTCTGAGGGCTGGAACCAGGCTGGGAGAGCTGGGGGTGTTCACCTGGAGAAGAAAAGGCTCCAGGGACACCTCAAGCCCCTTCCAGTGCCTAAAGGAGCTCCAGGAGAGCTGGAGAGGGACTGGGGACAAGGATGGGGTGACAGGACACAGGGAATGGCTGTAAGATAAAAGAGGGTGGATTTAGATGGGATACTGGGAAGAAATTCCTGACTATGAAGGTGGGGAGGCCCTGGCAGAGGTTTCCCAGAGAAGCTGAGGCTGCCCCTGGATCCCTGGAAGTGCCCAAGGCCAGGCTGGATGGGGCTTGGTGCAACCTGGGATAGTGGGAGGTGTCTGCCCATGACAGGGGGTGGCCCTGGATGATCTTTAAGGTCCTTCCAACCCATTCCATAATTCTGGAAGCTCTTTATGGAAGTGCAGGGTCCTGGTTTAAGAGCTGAGCTCTGTCCCAGGTGTGGGAAGCAGCTCCTGGGTGTCACTGCTGTCACAGGCTCTTGGCTGCTCCTGCTCAGGCTGTGCAGGTTCATCATGATCAAAACTGAAAGGTGAAGTTTGGGGTTTAATTTGCTCAAATTGATTTTTTTTTTGCCTCCCCACAGTAATAAATGACTGTAAAAGCCCAAAACTGAACTGACAAGTGCTCGTGCAGCCTGGAAAAAATTACCAGGGGCTCCTCCTGGAGGATCCCACTGATTCCTGCCAGGCAGCCAGAACAGGCTGTCCCTGACATTTTACATTATTATTCCTATTTTTCCTTTTTGGTTCAGGCCTCTATTTGTCTGTGGCCTGTCATGTGCCTTCTGCAGTTGGTGTGCTCTGCATGGTTCTCCTTTTAATTGGGTAAATTAAAATGGATGAATTCTACATGGCAGTTGGGTGTATTAATTTTTTAAATCCTATTTCACATTATGGCATCCAAGAGGGATTACACAGGCTTTAATTTTTGAATGGCAGGTTTATGGCTTTTCTTCTACAACTCTTCCCCTTTTAATAATTCCAAAAGCAGCTGAATCACTGAGACTTTTTTTAATTTTGAAGCCTAAGTTTGTCCATTGAGGAGCTCGTGGGATCTTTTGGGATCAAGATCTTGTTTTGCTGTTTGTTGAGGGCTCCTCAAAAGCCAATGTCCAGCATTATTCTGGTTATCAGCCTTGAATAGGAGCAGCCTCCCACATGGAGCAGGGTGGGAGGCATAAATTAAAGAATGTCACCTCCAAGGTTGGGGAATGTTACCATCCAATGGCACAAGTGACATTCCAACCATTTCTTCTGCTGTGTTTGAACACAAAAGAAGATGACCCCATCCCAGACCTGTCTCTTCTCCCATCACTCATCCTGAAAAGGTCATTCCCTGGAAACAAAACCCCCTGGGGCAGGAGCAGGGGTGTGGCTGTGCAAGTGGAGGAGTCTCCTCCTCACCCTGCTGCTTCTTCTGTGCATCTTCAGGATTGTAAATATTGCTTCCCTTGTGTGCAAGGCCTGGCCGAGATAGAGAAGGGTAATGAGAGTGATTTTCCTTTTCCTTCTCCTTTGTGGAATCAGCTATTTCAGGGGGGATCAGTTGCTTCAGGATCTTCAGGAGCTTCTCAGACCCAGGGGCAGAATTGGTGTCTCAGCATTAGCTGGGTTGGCATCACTGGATTTGTCCCAGTTCAGGTTTAAGTGGCTTGTTAGCTCTGTTTTTTGGAAATGTTATCCCTGTAGGGAGCTTGGCATTGGTGGCCTCAGTCCTCTGGCCATGGAGAGATAGATGTGCTTCAGGTGTGACTGTCACAGTCCACCTTGGCAACATTTATTCCTCCAAACAATATTTTCCTCTGCACAACTACATCCTAAAATCTTGCCATCCAAGCAAATCCTTCTGTTTTAAGAAACCAGGGAGAGCTGGTAAATTCAGTGACCAGCAATTCCCTCCAGTGACATTTTTAGCTTGGTTTTCTTCAGCTGTCTCTGTTGGGAAGCACAGATTCATCTGGGCTTTGCTCTTCCCAGAAGGTTGGGATGGACAAAGGGCTGGTGTGGCAGCAGGTGCTGAGCTGTGGGATCACAGCCCTGCTGTGCTGGATCTCTGAACCCTTTCCTTGCTCCCTGGGCAGTTCCCAGCTCGTTGATGCTGGGGAAGAGCTGCTGGTCTTTTTCCTGTGCTGATCCACGAGTTCAAATCTCATGGAATTGTGGGTATGAAAGAGCAAACAGAGGGTTGGGAAGCACTTTTCCTTCGAGATTTCACAGCTCTCTTTTCTTCTTCTTCCCTCCAGACAGGCAGGATTGACAAGTCCTACCCCACAGTGTGTGGCCACACGGGGCCGGTGCTGGACATCGATTGGTGTCCCCACAATGACCAGGTCATCGCCAGCGGCTCCGAGGACTGCACTGTCATGGTGAGTGCTCCTTGCGGGCTGCCCTTTGCCCCCTGCTGGAACTCCTGCTCCAAAGCACTCTGGAATTCCTGGAGGTGTCTCCAGGAACCTCCCGTTCCTAAGTGAGGTGAGGGTAGAGTCCAAAATGGTTTGGGTTGGGAGGGGCTTGAAGCTCATCCCATTCCAAGCAGGGACACCTTCCATAGACCAGGTTGTTCCAAGCCCTGTCCAGCCTTGTCTTGGACACTCCCAGGGATGGCCAACCTGTGCCAGGGCCTCACCACTCTCACAGGGAAGAATTTCTTCCATTTTTCCTTCCCCTGGGCATTTGTTTGGTGTTTGGGAAGAGGAATGAGAGTGCCAGTCTGTGGTGAGGTGTTCTGGTTTGTTGAGCTTTGAGAAGACAGGTGGTTCCTTACCTCAAATATCCCAATGGATGTGGAATTGTGTGTTGGGAATAGGGATGGGAAGGGAATGAGCCCAGCAGCTTCCAGGATTCCTTCAACCCTTGGTTTAAGTGAGTCACTTGAAATTTTCCCTTTATCTCCAAGTTTTGAGCAGGTGTCAAAAGGTTTTTTTTTTTTTTTTTTTTTTTTTTTTTTTTTTTTTTTTTTTTTTAATAAATAAATAAAAATAATCCCAAATTCTGCACCTGCCAACCTTGGATTGAGAGCTGTTTTAGCTCAGTGATAGCCCAGCCAGGCTCACTCCATGACGGATGTGGAATCCTGTGTATGCAAACACAGCAGAAAAAGTGAAAGAAAATCCTTGGAAGATGAAATAATGCCAAATAACTCCAGAGATCTTTGGCCATATTTAGAAATGCTGTAGGCTGAATGTTATATTGAAATCTTATTATAGATCATGTCAGATAAATTCCTTTGCTTCTGTTCATCGTTAAAATGTTTGGGAGGGGATTCATCCCAAGAGGCTTTTCCTGGGACAGCTCTCGCCTGTGATCTCTCAGTCTTGGAAGCTGCAGCATGTTAACACAACGAGTTATATTTAATATTAAACAAAACAACAACTTCTGTGTCTGCAAGGCTCACTACTGGGCTGGAACTGAGCTTTGGAAGGATGTGGGAATGTTTCTCCAACTGGGATGTAGAAGGGCTGAGCATTGGGAATGTTTCTGAAATGTGAGCATCACTGAAGGCCCAGAGCTGCCTCCTTGGAGGCAAAATAAGTCTGTAATCCAAGTGCAATGAGAAATATGTTGGGAGGCTCCAGAGGGACTGAATTGTGGAGAAAAACTGAACAGGGGTCAGCTACAAGTTGTCCAAATGCTTGTCCAAGTGGATAAACTCTCTCCCTCACACTATCCCAAATCCACACTCTCTCCCTCACACCATCCTGATGTGGACACAAAGTGCAGGAATCTGCACCTCCTGCTGGACTCTGGGGGTTCTCCACACATCCCAAGGTGGGGATGAGCTTCCATCCATCCCTGGAGGCAGCACCCATGAGGGAAGGTGTCAGGGTGGAGCTGCCTGGGGGTCTGCACCTTTGTGGTTGTGTTTGTTGTGACCTGTCTGGAGTGGAAGGGGAAATAGGTGAGTCCTTGCTGTGCTTCCAGGATCAGGGATGGGCAGGGTTTGGAAGATGCTGGGGATTAGCTGGAGGTTTAGAATGGGAAATGATGGATCCCAAATCATTCAGGACAGCTGGGAGCTGCACTGGTGTGTAAAGAACACCCCTGGCTTGGAGTTTTGGGAATGAGCTAATGAGCTCTCCCAGTTTTAATTACTTTTCTAGCCTGGCATGGATAGTTCAGTGTCCTCTTTTCCTTAACAAAGAGTTTGGGTCCTGCTCCCTGAGCATCCTGAAGGGAACAAACCCAGGGAATAAATCCAGGGAGCTTTCCAGGCTGTTCATGGGCTCAGAGCTCTGCTGGGGGGAGACAGGGAAAAGTGATGTGGGGAATTCTGTGGCAATTCCAGCTGCTGGAGAAAACACCTTGTTCTTAAAGACCATCTGTGCCCTGGCACTTGGGGATTTAGGATCTCACCCTCTGCCACCTGAGATCTCAGCTACATCAGCCAGACATGTATTGAGGGAGAGAATGGGGATTTGGGGTGATATTGAGGGTGAGAACATGGATTTGGATTGATGTGAGGGAGAGAACTTGGATTTGGGATGGTATTGAGGGAAAAAACATGGATTTGAGGTACAAACCACTGTCTCCAGCTGGAGAGGGCTGATTCCCTGCAGCCATAACTCTGCAGCCCCCGTGTGGCACAAGGAAGCTTCACTTGGCCCTATCCAAAGCCAGAAACATTTTCCTCTAAAGAAATTCCCAGATTTTTACAACACCTGCACATAAACCTTGAACAGGTTTGGTGTTGGGAATACCAAACATTGGAGAGGGGACTGGGAAAGAGGAGAGGACCTGACATCCTTCTCCAAAGGTTTTCTTTAGAGCCCTTGCAAATGCCTTCTGTGGCCTCTTTCCTTGGAAGAATTGTTTCCTTGTGCCAAAAAATGAGGAATTACTTCAATATTCCTGCTTGATGTTGTGCTGAATGGCTCTGATGTACTGCAGGCGTTTTGTTCAGCTGGAAAATGTTTTAGTGGATAAAGATTTGTAGATGGTATCGAGGCCCTTCCTCAGATGTGGAAAATTTCCTTCATCAGAAGGTGGATTTTAAGGAATTTGTGTGGAAAGACCAGAGCAGAGCAAATTCCTTTAAAAATCAAAGAGAGCCCATGTAGTGACCTGAGCCACCAACCAGGACAGGGACAATAAGGAGAAGGTGTGACCCTACAAAAATGATGCACCAAGAGCCTCTTCCTGCAGGGATATGGGAGCAGGGCCATGGATAAATCCAGGCTTCAAACTCAATTGCTTCCTTACTTAAAGTGATAAAAATTGAAATATATGATATAGGAAGTAATGTTTTTTCTAGACATGGATTTAATCTTCTTTTTAACTTGTGCAGAGCCAAAGGAGGTAATTTTTGCTTCTCTTTAAGAGGGATGAAAGAAAAGTTTGCTTTGTTTTCTTTCTCACGTTCTGTTTGTGCAAAACCTTCCCCTCCTGCCCTTCCTGCAGCCCCAAACCTCTCCCTCAGCTGTGCCACAGCTTCACTTCCTCCTGCACAAACAAACAGCCTTGATAACATCAAACCCCCTAAAAAACACCCAGACACCCCCGGGAGGGAGAGCAGGTAACACTTCCTAAAGCCCAGGCAATCCTACAGCATTTGAAGGTTTCCTTGGAGTCATCCTGAGTCCTCCCCTGGGCAGGGTAAGTCCTGCATCCAAAATTCTGTAATTTCCCTGTGAACCTGATTTGATCCTGTTCAGGAACGAGGGGCTGGGCCAATTGGGACCACGCCCTGACCTTTGACACTCGTTTCTTTATTATTTTTGGGAGTAGAAGGCAGGATTGTTTGGGTCAGTAATCTGAAATCTGCCCAGGATTACACTGCTCTGCAGCTGCTGCCAGCTACCAGGGTTTTACCTGACAGAAAATTCCATCTGTCCTCCAGAGGCTTTATAAAAAAAACCGTTTTCACTGGGATTTTGCCTCCCTTCCCTTTCCCACCCCCTGCACTTGCTGTCTTATGTTTAAATTTGCTTCTGGAGTTTTCTGGCTCATTTGCATTTGCTCAGAGGGATCTCAGGGTCCTTCCTGGCTCAGATGGTGCAGAACAGAACCGAGTCCCCCACCTTGGCAGGGTAAATCCTGCATCTAAAGTTTGTAATTTCCCTGTGAGCCTGGTTTGATCCTGGCCCTGCACAGACATCCCAACAATCCCACCCTGTGCCTGAGAGCTTTGTCCAAAGGCTCCTGGAGCTGTGACAGCCTTGGGGCTGTGCCCATTTTCACCCCTTGCAGAGGAATCTTCTCCTGGGGATGTGTTCCCATTGTGGTCATTCATGACAAACTAAATCAGTTTTGGGTTATTTCGAGGGGAGCTGGTACCCACTGAGATTCTCTGCATCTTGCTGGGCTTTTTTTCCAGTGCCAGTCATTCCTTTGAGGAGGGAAAAACTGGGATTAGTGCAGAAATCCACGTGTCCATCTCAGTCTGCCTCACTTCCTAAATCCACTCCCTCACATCCCTCAGCTTGTTGGGCATCGTGGGCAGGGTCTGGCAAGCCCAGTTCTCCCAACTCTAGGAAAAGCAAACAATGGGAAGCAAAGCAAACGTGCTCTAATGCTGCCACCTACCTACAGCAGCTCCAACTGCTCCCCGAGGGGCTCTCCCTGGAATTCCATGGCATTTTTTATTACACTCTTATGTAGATCAAATTCAATTCCGAGATGATTGTCCAGTGCTGAATTGGAGGGATAGTTTTGGTGAGGCTGATCCTGTCCTGGGGCTTTGGGGTGATGGGTTTGTCTGTCCCATCCCTGGTCGCTGCCAGCTGTAAAAGCTACCTCCCTTCTGCTGGAATTCCAGTGCTGTGGCATCCTCAGGGGGCTGTTCCTCCTCCCGGTGGCCCTTCCCTGAGGAAGTTTGCAACAGAAGGGTTGTGTAACCAGGCAAGAAGTGAACAGGCAGTGCTGATTTGGGCTGCTCTGGCTTCTTCCAGGACTAAACCCTGATTAAACGGGATATGAAAGGATCCTGAATCTAACAGGAAAATAAATTGCTGGTGTTCCTAAAGAAATGAAAAGTAGGCAGTGGTAGAGCTGCAGCATCATCCCTCTGAGGGACAAGCATAGTTTGGAAAGACAGCAGCTTGTTCCCGTGGAATTGGAGCTGCAGGGGGGATTTCTCAGACTCCTTAATGAGCAGGAGCAGAGTGAGTCCATGGACATGGGAATAAAGGGCTTGCACCATGAGGAGCTGTGGGTTTGTGCTGGCACATGAGCGAGGAAGGATGTTGCTCATGGATCAGCCAAGGGTTTATTGACAGCTGGGAATGATTCCCTCCCCAGTTCCCTTCCTGGTGACACGGAGAGGTGACAGCTCCGGCGGCTGTGGGACGCGGGAAGCGGCCGAGCCACGCGCTCCTCAGAGGGGCTGCCCTTGACTGAGCACCTTTCCTTTGCTTCCCTTCCCTTGCAGGTGTGGCAGATTCCTGAGAATGGGCTCACCCTGTCCCTCACAGAGCCCGTGGTAGTGCTAGAAGGCCATTCCAAGAGAGTTGGCATCGTGGCCTGGCATCCGACGGCGCGGAATGTGCTGCTCAGCGCAGGTACAGAGCACAGGAACGGGCAGCAGCCTCCCCTCCCTGCTTCCCTTCCTCTCCAGCTTTTCCTTTTCCAGCTCCTCACATCCCTGTGAATCACAAGACCCCTGGCAGTAGCTGGGAACATGGGACACGTGGCTCACAGCCCCCTCTCTGTCTCAGCCTTTTTTATCTGCAGTTTACAGGGATGAGCACCAAGGAATTGTCTGGAACTGGAGTATGAAAGTTGTTCCAGACTTTATTTCATCTGCAGTAACAATTTACATCTGCATTCCCCACATCCCTGTTCTCATATACTTTTAGAACAGGCCCAAGTGTTTCTCCTTTCCCTTGGTCTCTGCAAAGTATCCCAGAGTCCAGCTGTTCTCCCACAAGCTGTCATGGTCAGCATTTTCCAAATTGTCTCCTTGGCCAGGACAGGCCATGGAATGAAATTCTTTTGACCGCTGAAAATCAGTCACATCATTATGGAAATAAGTTGGATAATTTATCATCCATTGATCTGAGGCTTCCATGGGTTGGGTCCCAAGGAAAGAAGTGAGTCCTTTCAGTGGGATTGTTGGATGTGCTGAGTGTTTTCCATTGATAAAAATCCCTCCTGAGCTCCCAGCCTGGGTTTTGGTTTCCCCAGAAAAATCTTTGTTGCTTCAGGGGGTTTATCCCTTGTTCCTCACCTCTGGCTTTGTCCCTGTGTACCCCAATGCTGTGATTTGAGCTGTTAATTCCCTTTTTAGGCTGTGATAATGCCATCATCATCTGGAATGTGGGAACAGGAGAAGCCCTCATCAACCTGGACGACATGCACGTGGATATGATCTACAATGTGAGCTGGAATCGCAATGGCAGCCTCATCTGCACAGCTTCCAAAGACAAAAAAGTCCGAGTTATCGACCCCAGGAAACAAGAAATTGTTGCTGTAAGTTTGCTTAATCACTAAAGAAACAACTAGATTCACTCCAGCAGGGAATGAGCAAGAAAACGTGGAAGAAAGAACGTTCTTGCTCAGTTTAGACACCACATTCAGTTGCTTTCTTCAGAAATTACAGGAGGAATAGTAGGGGTTGGAGGATTTGTCTGGGTTTATTTGGATTAGTGTTTGAACCGGGATTTTAGGGCTCAGTTCTAAACCTACAGGAGTGTAATTCCACATCTAATCCTTTTGTATAATTACAGTTCCAGAGTTGTGCATGCAAAGCAGAGCTTTAGTTGTAGCTTGCAAAGAGGTTTTCCATCAGCCTTGCAAGAGGCTGATTGTCAAACGAGCCAGGAATGTTCCCTTCTCCCGTGGTTCAGTGATTGGGTTCTGCCCCCAAGCAGCAGGGAAGGGGAGTTGGATATTGCTCCTGCATGGAGGAGCGACGTGTCCAGAGAGGAGCCACCACTCCAAGGGTTGTTCTGTTCCCTGCTAATCCTGCCCTGCTCCTCTCTTCCAGGAGAAAGAGAAAACCCACGAGGGAGCCCGGCCCATGCGAGCCATTTTCCTGGCAGACGGGAACATCTTCACCACCGGCTTCAGCCGCATGAGCGAGCGGCAGCTGGCCCTGTGGAACCCGGTACGACCCCACACTGCACCTGGGCAGTTACCAAGCCAGCCCTGCAGCCCTGGGGCCATGGAATGGGCTGGCTTGGATGGGACATTAAAGCCAATCCCATTCCAACCCCCTGTCCTGGGCAGTGACACCTTCCACTGCTTGTTCCAAGCCTGGCCTTGGACACTTGCAGGGATGGAGCAGCCAGAGCTTCTCTGGGCACCGTGTGCCAGGGCCTCACCACCCTCACAGGGAAGAATTCCTTCCTAAATTCATGTTTTATATACTTGAGGTTATTCCCTCTCCATCTGCTGCCTGCTCCTGCTTCCATGATTTTGGCTGTGTGGTGACTCAGTGAAGGAACTGAGCAGGGGCAGTGAACAGCTGGGAGCTGCAGGTTGGAAGTGCCTGGGAAGATGCTCAGGGAGCAGAGAGGCTGTGGGAAGGTCTCTGCTGTCTGTGCATCGTGCAGAGCAGGACAGCAACAATCCCAGGAGGGTTCAGGGTGGAAGGGACCATGTGGACTGTGTCCAGGTGGCTTTTGAGTGTCCCCAGGGAAGGAGGCTCCATCACACATCCCATCCCACTGACACTAACTCACTGTGTCACATATTTCCCTTGACTTGGTAAATTTTCCTGGCTCCTGTTTTTATTTAATTTAGTGATTAAAATGCCCTTGGGGAATGAATCAGCTCCTGAGCATTCCCAGCATTTGTTGTAACACACGGATCCTTCTGGGTGGTGCAGACACCACTGGGAGTTCACTGCCTACAGAGTTTTAATAATTTAGACCCTCTCTCTATGAACAGAAGCTTTTCCAGTCTTTATTAACATCCCTGGCATTTTTATTTCCAGAAAAACATGGAGGAGCCAATAGCCCTTCATGAGATGGACACCAGCAACGGGGTCCTGCTGCCCTTCTACGACCCAGACACCAACATCATTTACCTGTGTGGGAAGGTAAGGAGAGGCTTTGGAGGCACCTGGAGGGAGTGGTGCCTGTGAAATGTTCTCCAAAAAATCAATGCTGCAGCAAAAGTGGGGCTGCAGAGAGACCAGGCTGCTCTGGAATGGGTTTGATCCTCACTCTGCAGAACCTGGGAAGGACCTGGATGTTTCTTTGAGATGGATTAGGTAAAGCTGCTCCTAATGCAACAAGTCCCACACTGTTGCCAAAACATTTCTTGCTGGTGTTGACCTGGATGATTTTAGACTGGAATGGGGGGAAGAAACATTTTTGATGTTGTCCTCCTTGGAGATGCTGGAGCGACTCTCTCTGTAATTTTGTGGGGTTAAATAATAGAAAACTGGAACCAGGTGCTCCTTTCTAAAAGCAATTTGTAGGAACTTGGTGCCCACATGTGATGGACTCCTACAAATAGGAGCCAAAGCCAAGATAACCAAAGAATTCCTAAGGAGTATCCATACAAGCACATTCATGAATCCCATCTTTGTAGCAGCTGATGAGGAATATTTGGCTTCTATCTGCCACCTGCAGTTTCAGAGACAGCAGTGTGGTGGAATTGCTTGGAATTAAGGTTTATAGCCTTTCTGCCTGATTGTGGCAGGAGGTTTTTCCACAAGAGATGAGGAAGGGGCCACTCCCAGCATGGAAGCACGAGCTCGATCCCTGTCCCACAGTGTTTGGAACAGGACTTGGAGGAATTGTTCAGTTGATGGAGTCGGATTGTGGAGGGGATCAGCCTTGCTTCAAAACCAGCTGTGAGCTGTGCATGGCAGCATTCCTGGAAGGGAAAGCTGTTGGGAGCAGCAGTGTGGGCACAGGGAACACAGGTCCTGCAGCCTCTGGAGGGTCTCCTGGGGTTCCTTGCAGGGTGACAGCAGCATCCGCTACTTCGAGATCACGGATGAGTCCCCGTACGTTCACTACCTCAACACCTTCAGCAGCAAGGAGCCGCAGAGGGGCATGGGGTTCATGCCAAAGAGGGGCCTCGACGTCAACAAGTGTGAGATTGCCAGGTGAGGAGAGCTCAGGAGGGCTGGGAGCTGGGGCTGGGAATTTCAGGAGTGGTTAAAGCTGCAGAGCAGTGAGCACGGGGCAGCCGTGGTTCAAAAAACCTGGGAAGGGCAGGAAACATCTCAGGATGTTGCTGCAGTGGCTCCAGGAGGGAACATCACTGCTGGCTGGGGACATGATCCATCTCTTCTCCCAGGAAACAAGTGATAGGACAAGGGGAAACATCCCAGTTTCTTCATGGAAAGGGTGGTCAGGCATTGGAAGGGGCTGCCCAGGACAGGGGTGGAGTCCTCATCCTGGAGGGATTTAACAGCCATGTGGATGTGGCACTTGGGGACATGGGTTATGGTGGCCTTGATGGTCTCAGGAATTTCTGTGCTTCCTTGGGGTTGCTCCTTTCCCATCTCCTCCATCTCCCTGATCCCACCTCTCCGTTTTCTCGGCAGGTTCTTCAAGCTCCACGAGAGGAAGTGTGAGCCCATCATCATGACGGTTCCCCGCAAGGTGAGCACTGCCCTGGGGCCGGGCTCTGGAGCCAGCTCTGCCTCCCAAAGCTCCTGACTGATCCATGTCCCCTGCCTTGCAGTCTGACCTCTTCCAGGACGACCTGTACCCAGACACAGCCGGCCCAGAAGCAGCTCTGGAAGCAGAGGAGTGGTTTGAGGGCAAGAACGCTGATCCTCTCCTCATCTCCTTGAAGCACGGGTACATTCCAGGCAAAAACAGGGATCTCAAGGTGGTCAAGAAGAACATACTGGACAACAAACCCGCTGGGAACAAGAAGAGTGATCTCATAAATGCTCCAAAGAAAGCAGCGGATGCCTCAAACCCTGTGAGTTAACTCCAGGAATTTTGGGGGTGATGGCCTCATGTGGGAATGCCAAGGTGGGACCAGTGACAGGGATCAGCTGGGGCTGTGTCAGGGAGGTTTAGGTTGGGTATCAGGGAAAGGTTCTTCCCCCAGAGGGTGCTGAACAGCCTCCAGAGGGAATGGTCCCAGCCCTGAAGCTGCCAGAGCTCCAGGAGTGTTTGGACAATGCTCTCAGGCTCGGGGTGGAATTGTTGGGGTGTCTGTGCAGGGTCAGGAGTTGGACTGGATGATCCCTGTGGGTCCCTTCCATCTTGGGCTATTCCATGATTCTGTGATTCTAATGCTTCTGTAGATATGGAACATTCCTTGGAATTATTCTTCCTAAATCACAGAACCATTAAGGTTGAAAAAGACTTTCAAGATCCCCAAGTCCAACCCTAACCCAGCACCAGCACCTTGTTCACCACTAATTCCTGTCCTCAAACCACATCCTTTGGGACACAGAGGAAAGGCTTAAAGAGCAGGCAGTGGTCCTGCATGGGTGCACTGAACATCCCAACTCCTCCAGAACTCCAGCAATCCCACTGGGAGGAGCTCTCCTCACTCATCCTTCCTTATCTTCCAGCAAAACGACGCCAAATTGGACGAGATTTTGAAGGAGCTGAAATCCATCAAGGACACGATCTCCAACCAGGACGAGCGCATCTCCAAGCTGGAGCAGCAACTGGCCAAGATCGCAGACTGACGGGGCCGCCAGCCCAGGCACATCCCAGCTCCCAGTTCAGCCAGCAGCAGCCTGCAGCATTCCAGTACGAGCTTTCCTGTTCTCCTAAATCCACGTCAACAAGAGCCGATGATTTCAAGCCAAGCTTTTTAGTGAAAGAGTTTTTTGGGGTTTTTTTTTTTTTGGGGGGGGGGGGTTTTTTTTTGTTTTTTTTTTTTCTCGTTTCCCGATGTTCCGATGAATTTCTGTGACTGTGTCAAAAACAAGGCAAAAATGAGAAGTGCTACTTTTACAGGGTTTTTTTGTTTTTTTTTTTTTTCCACATGTTATTATGAATCCTTGAAAAACTAATCTGTTCTTGACTTCCAATGTCATGCCCAAATATCTTTTTCTAGATTTTAGGGACCAACGCCACATTGTTCTTAACCATTTTTTTTTTTTTAGAGTTGCCAAAAAATAGAAAAAAATATTGCTTTTATTTTTCTTATTTGCCACTTTTGCAGTATTTGTGTTTCCATTCCAAGGGACAGGGGATGTGGGGGGTGTTTACACTGTGCAGAGAACAAAGCTGAAGCTATTTTGTATAAATCCTCCATTTGGAACAATCAGGTGGGTTCCCTTCCCTTCTCTTCCCTGTGGAATCCCCTTGGAGATGAGATCAACTGCCTTTCCTGCTCCACAACATGTCCCCAGCCCTGTTGGCTGACAGAAAAATACAGATATATCATTCTGAATGAGGGGATTTATTTCCTACTGAAGTTGTAAGCCAGCACCATGTTCCCATTTTCCTACAATCCCAAGGTTTTGATTCCATGACCAAACTCACGTGTTTTACTTGCTCATTTTTATTTCCGTTTTGAGGCAGAAGTGACTTCCATGCAGGAATGTTTTTATCCATGGAGCATGGAGTTCCAGGTGAGCTGTGGGATGCCAGCAGCCATTGCTGCCCCCCAACACTCCTGAGCTCATGGATTTTAAGAAGTTTTTGGAATCCATCAGCTTTTCACACCAGTGCTGATGATAGGAATTTTCTGTGCTTCCAAGGCAGCATCAGCAGCAGAAAGATGATTTTTCCATGATAATTCTCCACAAACAAAATGCCTCTCCTGTTCCTTTTTGATAATTTGTTTTCTCCTGTCCATCATTCCTGCCTCCCATCCTGCCATGCTGGAAAGCTTTGCAGGAAAGGATTTGTTCCTGGATCAGATGAGTGACCTCCAACCCCAAACCCCCTCCTGCACTCCCAGCCCTTCAGAGCAGAAGGGACTGGGAGGGTGGATTTGATCCCAGTTTGGAGAACTGGTTTCTCACACGGCTCCTTTGGGATCCTGCAGGGAGAGGCCCTGTGAGTGCTCTAGGCTGGCTCCTCCTGGAATTCCATGGAAGCTCAGCTCAGCAAAGCTCTGCTCAGGCAGGGCCTCCCCTGTGAAGTCAGGGATGGGGCAGGCTGGCTCCCTGCTCCCAGGCTGTGTCCTTGTGCTGGGAATGGCATCCAGGACACCCTGGAAAGCTGTGCCAAGCAGGATTGGTGCTGCCATTCCTGGCACAGCCCATCCCTGCAGTGCCAGGGAGTGCTGATAACCCATCCTGAATCCAAAGGTGTCCAAGAGCTCTGGATCCCTATCCCAGCTGGACTCTGTCCCTGTGGCAGCTCCCACCTGGAGCATCCCGGTGGACACGAGTCTCTTCATCCAGGCTGAAGTGATTGATTTATTTTTATTTTTATTTTCCATTAGTTTAGCTAGGAATTCTCCGATTTTCCATTTTCCCCAGTGTTTGCATGTTCAGAACTTCCAGGTTAAGGATTCCCTGTTGTGAAGGGATGTGTGTGTGGAGGCGGAATCAGCCAGGGGACGTAGCTGGAGAGGCACGAGGATGGGATGGAGGAGACAGAGGATGTGGTGGGATTGCAGAGCAGGAAAGCTTCAGAAAAGTGGGATTTCTGTGTTTTAGGGACAAGTGGCATCCCCTGCCCTGTGCCCGTGGATCCACAATCCGGCTGCTCCGGGTTCTTTGGCTGTTTGGTGACGTTTCTGTATTGCAGTAAATGCCTGAGATGTGTATTTTTATGGATTTTATTTTTTTTTCTTTTGGAACCCAAACCCGAAGGTCGTTCTCCCCACAGTGGTGATTTCTGTGTTGATTTGTACGTGTGACTTCAGGGTTGTGTGCTCGGGGACCTCGGGTTTGTTCCTAACATTGGAGGGAAATCAGTTTTGGGAGCCGCTGGATTGAGGTGCCCGGGGGTGGGGGTGTGGGAGATTTTAGTTCCTAGCCTGTATTTTATTTAAATGAACTGATGCCTCGCCAGGCTCAACCGGAGTCAGTGCCTGAAGCTTTTTGTAGCCGTGATATCCCGGGAGAGAACCAGCCCAGTCCGGAAAGACGCGCTCTTATAGAGCGGCCAGAGTATCTGTCCAAATATTTGCTTCCATTTTCAAAAGATAAAAGTCATTGATTATAAACTGCCTCTGCTTGGCTTTTCCTTTGGCTCTCGGCGTCCTGCGCCCGCCCCCGGCATTCCAGGTTTGATTGATAACTGGGATGTGGAATGAGGGACACTTGAGTGGCTGAGGGCACCTTGGGGACCTTCTGCTCCTGTCCCAGGAGAGCCAGGGCCCGTTCCTGGGGTCACACATGGAATCTTCCCTGGTGATGGACCCAAGAGCTTGGCTGGATGTGGGATGTGATGGCACAGACGGGCTGGGGGATCTCGGGGTGGATGAGGGTGATGTGTTCCCAGGAAGGAACAGCCCTGCTTGGGAACTACCCTGGATCCGGGGGGGCTCATTCTGCTCTTCCCCAGGAAATCCGGACTGACACAGAGCCTGGGCTGAAAACATCGCTTAGTCCGCCCAGGTTTGAGCTTTCTCAGGGCTGCGGCGTTTCAGGGGATGTTGCACAACCACCTCCGGAACACCCCGACCCCGGCACCACCCCAAAGCCGGGCAGGGATGCTCCCGGAGAGTCAACGCGCCCTGGGCACCATGGATCCATCCCAGGGATGCTCATCCCACAGGCCTGAGCCCCATTTCTTCCCTCTTGCAGCCCCCTGGGCAGGTGTTTCGGGGCAGGGACGGGCTGGAGTTTCGAGGGCGGGGGGGTTGTTGACACCCCGAGCCCGTTCCTGCGGATGTGCCTCTTGCAGCACCTTCCTGCGGCTGCGCCTCCCGCCCGGGAGCCTGCGGTTGGGGCGGGGGATTTCCTGTCATGCCAATGCTACCAGACTAGGACAACACCCAGGACAATACCCAGCAGCCCTCCCAGAGCCCCTCCGAGCATCCTGGGGACGGTGCAGAGAGGAGGAGCCCGGCACAAGATGTTTTATTGTGCAAAACATCAAGTCAGGCCCTCACCCTCCTCCTCCTCGTGTGCTAAGGCGTTTCCCGGTGTTGAGGTGTCTCAGGGCACCCTGGCCATGCCCACACCGTGCCCGGGGCGGGGGTGGCATCCCTGGCACCAGGTTCGCCGTCACTTCTGCTTTCGGAGCGACGCCAGCCCCGGCGCGCAGCTGCTCGGTGGGGCCGAGCCGGGAGCTCCCAGCAGGGCAGGAAGCCCCTTTTTGGGGTGCAGCCCACACCCTGCCACCCTCCCCGAGAGGTGCTCGCAGCCCCCCAGCCCTCGGTGGCCCCACTCTCGGCGTGACGTCCTTCCCCCGCGGGCTCTGGAAACCGCAGCCGCTTTTCCGCGCTCCCTCCGTGCCCCGCCCGGCCGGAGGTGCAGGCGGACGGTGCCCACGACGCCCCGCGGGTGCCGGTGCCGGTGCTGGGGCTGCCCTCGCCCCCCCCGTGCCAGCCCCTCGCCGGTGAGTCCTGCAGTCGGGATCCCACCGCCTTCATCAGCACAGGTGAGCCCTGCAGGGAAGGGGATGGATCGGGGCTCGGCCCCGGGGATGCTCTGGGTGCCAAGGGGGTGCTCAAAGCGGTCCCTGAGGGTGCCACGCTCCGTGCTGGTCCCTGGGTGTGGGGGGGCGGGATGTGGGAGCACTGAGCCCTGTCTGGATGCTGTTGGGTGCGGGTCCTCGGGGACCTCGGTGGCTTCCGCCCATCGCGGCTGCCAAGGGATGGGGGATCGATGATAGAACAGGAGAATTTGGGGTGAGTTTGCGGTGGATTTGCCTCTCCTGCTCCAGCACAGAGGGCACAGGCTCATGGTGGCCCTGAGGAGCCCTGTGCCAGCCCGGCGGGCGGAGGGGGAGGACAGGCACCTCGGAGTGGGGGGTCTGTCAAAACGTGGCCGACATCCCTGTGGTTTCATTTCCACACAGACTCATCCCGCGACTGTCCCTTCCCGCAGCAGCCGCCTCCAGCGTGGCTGATTTCCCATTTCCAGACACTCAACTTCCTTATCAAAACTTGCTCCTGGAGCAGAGCCACCCTTGCAGGTGGGGGCTGTAGCAGGCTGGGTGCATCCTCCATTCCCCCAAACCCGAGGGCCCCTCTCCAGAGGGGAAGGATCCCCGGTTGGAGTGTGATCCTACGGTGGGGCAGTTCCATGCTTGGCATTCTTCCGCGGGGAGCAGGATGTCACCCCGATGTCACCTGCCCTTTCTGTCCCCTGCAGGTCCCATGGCGCTGGGCTGGGCCGTGCTGGTGCTGCTGGTGCTGAGCCCCCTGCGGGCGTGCGGGGCTGAGCTGCTGCAGCCGGGGCTGCCCCGGGGCGAGCAGTGGGTCTGGGGGGTGGCCAAGCCTCTGCCCCTCTCCCGTGGGAAGAGGGATGACAGCGAGCAGGAGCCTGGTGCCACCGCGATGATCGGCAGTGACAAGAGCGATGGTGCCTCTGTGCCACCACCAGCAGCCGGCACCAACGCCAGCCTGCTCCGGGTGCCAACCACAGCCGACCCCATGGACGATTCCCCCGAGCCTGAGCAGCTCCTGGGCTCTGCAGCACCGGTGCCCGGCACCAACGCCAGCCTGTTCCCAGTGCTTGCAGTGTCCACCACAGCCGAGCCTATGGATGAGACAGATTCCCCTAAACCCGACTTATTGGAGAACTCTGTGGCACCAGCAGCGCCCAGTGCCAGCACCAGCCTGCTCCGGGTGCCTACAGTGTCCACCACAGCTGATCCCATGGATGAGACAGATCCCCCTGATCCCGACCTGCTCCTGAGCTCTGCCCCAGCACCCAGCACCGAGGCCAGCCGGGCACTCGCGGTGCCAACTACAGCTGATCCCATGGATGAGACAGATCCCCCTGATCCCGACCTGCTCCTGAGCTCCGCCCCAGCACCCAGCACCGAGGCCAGCCGGGCACTCGAGGTGCCAACTACAGCTGATCCCATGGATGAGACTGATCCCCCTGATCCCGATCTGCTGCCAACCTCAGAACCTGTCACATCAGCAGCACCCGAAAAGAGCATCGCCATCACCACCCCCAGCTGGCTCACGCCACCCATCGAGGAGAACACAGTGACTGATGGCCTGGACAGCAGCTCCTCCACGGGGCCACCCTCAGCTGTCCCCCCAGCCTTTGTCGTCACCACTACGGGCTACAGGAAACCCAAGAAATCCGGAGCTCCGCCTGCACCGACCCTCCCGGCCCTTTGGGACACGACGCCAAGGGGCACCGCGGTGCCCTGGGAGCCCGACGGGGTGATGAGCAAGTGCCTGCTGACCATCCTGCTGCTGGGGCTGGTGGCCGCCACCTTCCTGGTGTGCACGGGGGTGCTGGGGTCGCTGCTGTGGCGGCGGACGCGGACGGGGCAGCGCCGCTTCAGCCGCACCGAGATGGTTTGTATCTCCTCGCTCCTGCCCGACGCCGAGGCGGCCGCCGGCCCCCGGCCTGTCCCGGCCCGGAGGCACAGGCTGCTGCTGCCCGACGGCAGCTCCGAGCCCGATGGAGACAACCTGACTCTCAGCAGCTTCCTGCCGGAGCACTCCTGAGCCCCAGGGATGGCTCCTGCATCCCGCAGCGCTGGGGGGCAGCGTGCCCGGTGGAGCGGCGGGCAGGGATTCCCTGTCCCCCGGTGTTTTAGCTTTGACCAGTGCGATGGAGCTGCTCCCCCGGGGCCAGCTCAGCCCACCCCATTAAAGAGTTACCTGGACATGGTGGTCTCTTCCTGGCAGGGCCGGCACTCGCAGGCCCCTTCCCCGCCCCGCCGCCTGCCCACATCCTGCTGCCAAAATTTCGCTTCTCCATCCTCCCCTCCTAGAGGAGCAGAATTGAAACCCGCGGCCACCCCTCGCCAGGCAGGGAGCAGATCCCGGGACCTTGGGGACGGGACCGCAGATCCCGGGACCTCCTCCCCGCGTGGTCTCGGCCTCGTGGGAGCAGAAAGGGAGGAGGGGGACGGGGCGGAAACGCCGGGGGAGGGGGACGGGGACAGGGACAGGACGGGTGCGCTCGTGGTACAACGTGTTCCTGCCTGCGGTCGCTGCAGCGAGGCGGGGACGCCTCCGGAGCCGCCGCTGCCTGTCAGGTGCTCGGCCCCGGGGGCGAGCGGTGGCCGCTGGGTCTCGGCATCATCCGGCAGCGCTGGCCCCGGCTGGGACTGGGAATGGGAGGGATAGGGAGAACAAATCCATGAGAGGCCAGCGAAGGTTCCACCATTTCCCCCCCTCGGGCAGGTGTCAGTCATTCCTCGGGTCACCAATTGATCCCTTCCTTGGGGGGGCGGAAATAGCCCAGGACTGGCTCTGTCCTGCCAGGCTCAATGTCTCCATTTTCCCATTTTGCTCTACCCAGGTTCCCCATCCCCATATCCCCACATCCCCATCCCTGCTGTAATGAGGTTCAATGTCCCCATCTCTCCATCCCCACCCCTGCCCTGCCAGATTCAGCATTCCCACATCCCCATATCCCCTTCCCCACATCCCCAAGCTTGCAGCCTCCTACAAGGCCACTCTGAGCTGTCTGTCCAGTGGGAATTGCCAGCGTGGTCATTCACCTGCATCCCGGCCTTGCTGCCTGTTTACATTCACTCTGTGCTTGGGATATTTTCCATCTGGATCCTGGCAGCTGCACGGCCCTGCTCTGGCTGTGAATGTAAATGTTTATGGGTGAGTCAGCCAGCCCAGGGGACCCGCAGATGGTGGCCGTGGCTGATCCCCACGCAGGACACTCTGGCCGTGGGCTCCTTGCTGATGCCACCCTGCTCTGTCCCACTGTGTCCCCACGCAGGACACTCTGGCCGTGGGCTCCTTGCTGATGCCACCCTGCTCTGTCCCACTGTGTCCCCACACCAGCGCCCGGCCAGCCAAAGCTGCCACGGGGAAAGAAGAGGGACGCTCCCATCCTCTGGCTTCACCCCACAGCACCTCATCCATCCTCTGCCCCTGGTGAGGATGAGGCCGGTGTGTCCCGAGGAATCGGATGGGTGCAGATTCGAGGGATTGCTCTCACTCTCAGCTGTGCCGGCTGCTCTCCAGCAGGAGCCCAGCGAGGATAAACTTTCCTCCACCGCGGGAGCGAGGGGCCGGGGATCGCCGTATTTGGCGCAGCCAGCAGGTCCTGCCAGGCTGCCATCGCACACCTCACGGCACAGGAATTCACGGGAAGCCTGCGCGGTGTCACAGCGGGATCCTCAGGGATCCCGCCGGAGAGCGGGAGGGCAGCGTGGGGTGGGGTGGCACCAGGCTGCGGTGGGTGACACGAGGCCCGGGGTGACACAGGGCCAGGGGTGGCACCGGGCTGTGGTGGGTGACACGAGGCCGAGGTGGCACAATCCCACGCACGACGCTGCACATGGAGCTCCACACGCCTCGTGCAGCTCTGCAGGACGGGTCCCCTCCGGGTATTTTGCTGGCACAGCAAAGCGTAGCCCAAGGAAGCAAATTAGAAGCAGAGCAAGGCTGAAATCCCTCAAATTACGGGTTCTCCGGGCGGGCTGTGCCGCCGAGCCCAGCCCTGCTCGGCCCCGCGTTCCTGCTGCCCCAAATTACACAGCGGGGCCGGGCGGTCCCGGCCCTGCCCAGCTCCGAGGGGCCGGGCCCGCGCCCGCTGCAGGCAAAAACAGCATCGTAATGGCCAGTGGGAGCTGGCACCGGGAACTGGGACCGGGATCCCGGCTGTGAGGGTGGGGACACTGGGCAGGGAAGGATGGGGATCGTGGGTGAGGGGAAATGGAAATACTGGGCAGAGATGGATGAGGACTCTGAGCAATGAAGGGTGGGAACCGTGGGCAGGGTGGGATACAGATCCTGGGCAAGGAGGGATGGAGACTCTGGGCAAAGCAGGATAGGGATCCTGGTTCGGGATGGGGTTCTTGGATGAGTGGCAGTGGGGACTCTGGATGATGTGGGATGCAGACCCGGGACAAGGAGATTGAGCTCAACACCGACATTACTGGGTGAACGGGGGGCAGCTCAGCTCCATCCCCACCTGGGATGGAGGAGCAGGGCCGGATGCTGCTGGAACTCCTCCCGGCCGCCCTCGCCCTCCCCTCGCCTTTCCCCCTTCCCCTCTAAGATTTCATCACTGAGCACTTAAGGCCGGGAAAAGCCGCCCCAGCAGCTGCTGGGAGCCGCCGGGGCAGCCAGACGGACGGAGCCTTTATTTCGGGGAGCCGCGACGCCGGCAGCGACGCCGGAGAAACCCCAGCGGCGCCAGCTCCCCTCCGGCCCAGGGGACAGAATCCCCCCTCCCCATTCCCCGAGGGTCACGGTCCCCAGACGCTGGCCATGGCTTTTTGGGGGGTCTGGCAGGTCCCCAGAGAGGAGCAGAGGAAAATAGCAACAGGATGAGGTCATGCAGCGGCTGCAGCCTCTTGAGCAACCTCAGGCCAGGCCGAGGGGACCAGGGCAGGGGGAGACAGAGCTTGGGGGAGGCTCAAGAGATGCTCCCAGACCCCCAAACTGGAGACCAGGACCCAGGGAGCTGAGCAGCTGCTTTGTTTGTCTGTGGAACCAGGGGTACCCCTGGCCCAAGGCAGAGGTGCCCAGGCCGGACATTTCCAGGCTGGGATTTTAGGAAATGTTCTCCTGGAATTACGGGGATGGTCCCAAGCCATGTTTGCCCCACTGCCTCAATAATGCCAAGGCACTGAGCCCACATCCCTCACTGCCCGCCTTGGATTCTTGGATGGGCTTTACCCCCACCTTCGTGGATAAAAACAACATTAAAAACAACACCTTGTGTGACCCCCATGCCTGCTTGCACCCCAAAATGTGGCCCTTCCGGGGTCGATGATGGGGGGCACCACGGCTCCTTTGCTGATGGGATAAGCCAGGAAACACCCCCAGCCCCAGCTGGAGTTCATCTGGAAGGGGGCTGGGGGCTGCCTGCCTTCTCCTGGCCTCCCACACCCCCTCCCCATCCCGGCTGTAATGAGAACAAGCTGGTCCCGGGCTGCGACGTAGGGGGAGGAGGAGAAGGAGGAGGAGAAGAGAGGGAAGGAGGAGGCTCCATCCCAGCAGGCTGCAGAAAGGGGCTCGAGGTGTGTGGGACAGATCCCGTCTTCCCGGCTCCCTCCCGCCGGCTGCGGGCGAGGTGAGGATCCCACTGGATGTGCCAAGCTGCTCCCCAATTTTCGGGTGGCTCTGGAGCAGGGCACAGACTGTCCCACAGCCGGGGGTGCTGTGGTGAGGGCTGGGCATGGTCCCCATGGCGGGACACGGGACGGAGTCGGCCACATGGCTGCATTCCCAGGCAGGAATTGGAGTGTGCTGCGTCTGGACAACACCAAAATAGTGAATTTCTGGAGCGGTTGGGAAGCGGAGCTGGGAACAAGCTGTGGGTCTGGGGGTGGGTGAGGATGGGGCTGGAATGGGATTGGGACGGGGGTGGAGGGCTGGCAATGCCCATGGTGCCAGGCCCTGTTCTTGGCACTGCTTTGGGCTTTGCTCAGCCCCTCCACGGCCACGGCTGCTCCTCAGCTCCGATGGCTGCCAGGGAATTGACGCCGTCCCCATCCCGGGACTCTTTTCCCGCCGAGGGGCCCCTGTCTGGGGTGAAGAGGAGGATGAAGGGGCTCAGCCCCTCAAACCCTTCATTCTCCCGGTGCTGGTCAGTGCTGTGACCCCACAGCCGCAGCAGTGCCCGGGGGGAGCCGGGAGGGCTAAGGGTCGGGGGCACCTCCCACCTCTGCCGCCGTTTTTTTGCACTGGATTAATGGAAACCAGATTGTGCAGCCGGCAAAGAGCCTGGAAGCCAAATCCTGCTGCTGGAGTCCCTCAGTCTGTAGAGCTGCTGCCTTGGGTTTGTTTGGGGGGGAATATGAGATGTGGGTTGGCATTTGGGGAGCCTAAGGCTGGGGAATTGTCACGGGCGGGGGTCCCTGCTGATGGACCTGGGGAAGTGTTTCCTGAGACCTCCCTATGGAGCCCTATGGAGTGAGGAGGGAAAGAGCCCTGGGAATGGCTCGATGGCGTTACATGGCGTGGCACGCGCTCACGTCCCTTGGGAATGTCTCGGGACGGTCACGTCCCTCTCCCAAATCCCGTGGGGTGCAGAGCCTGGCCAGGGGCTCATCACAGCTGCAGGGTGGGAAGCGTGTGTCCTGTGTCCTACAGCACACTGTGGGCTGCGGAATGGGGCACATCCAGCCCCATCTAGGTGAGAAGCAGGGCACAGAGATGGAACCAGCCTTGCCCCCTTCACCAGGGACGCTCAGGCAGCTGGCACCCCTGTACCTTGCACCCCAGTTCTGGGGCTGCCCTTTTGTTCCACACCCCATCCCAGCTCCACTCAACCACCATGGTGGCACTGGGGTGAAATCCTGCCCCAACCTATTTTTAGCCATGCTCCAGCTGGGAATTAACGGTCCGGGATGGGCGGTTGGGAAATGCCTCTTGCGCCGGGCCCAGCCCCTTTGTAGCGTCGCCTGTGTCAAAGTTTCCACTGCAAACCTCCATTTTTTAGGAATTCTCTAATCAGCCAAATGACCGCTGTCTGGAGCCAGGCGCTGGCAGCAGCCCCGGTCCCCCAGCCTTGAGCAATCCCACCCAGCTGGCTTCCAGCTGCACCCTTGGAAAACAACGGGAGCCCCTCGCTCTGTCAGGGCGAGAAAACCGGAGCTGCCTTTCTGCTTCCATAAGGAAATTCAGGCTTGGGGGGGCTGGCCTGGGGGGACTGCTCTGTTGAGATATTAACACGTCCCCCTCCCCTCTGCATCCCACAGGTCTCCTGCACGAATCCTGGGAATGGGCTCAGCCATGGGTGCGTGGTTGCTGCTCTTGGTGCTGCTGGCGGCGGCCCCGGCACAGGCGGCAGCGCCCCGGCACCGCCCGGTGCTGCCGGACACGGCGGGCAGCGGCGACGGCGACGAGGCTTCAGCCACGCTGCCCGCCCAGCCCGTGACCCCCCGCATCACCCCCACGGTCGGGGACGCTCCAGGGACCACGGTGACCAACAGCTCGGCGCCGGGCGTGCTGGACGGGCTGGTGGATTTCTTCAAGGAGTACCTGCTGCTCGTGGTGGTGGTGGGCTCGCTGTCCTTCGTCCTCCTCTTCATCATCTGCGCCGCCATCATCGTCCGGCAGAAGCATAAGGCCTCCGCCTACTACCCCTCCTCCTTTCCCAAGAAGAAATACGTGGATGAGCGGGACAAGTCGGGGGGAGGGCGGGCGTTCAGCGAGGTGCCCGAGAAAGCCCCCGAGGCCGGCGCGGAGGAGCCGCTGGACGGCAGCCGGCAGCTCCAGGCGGACATCCTGGCTGCTGCCCAGAACCTCAAATCCCCCCCCAAGGCACCGCTGGCCAACGGGGCCCGGGGCGAGCAGAATTCCCCTCAGGAGGAGGAGGAGGAAGAAGAGGAAGGAAAGAAGTTGGGGGATGAGCAACCCAAGCCCCCTGGCCAAAACCCAGGTGTGGAGGAAGGGGCGAGCGCAGGAAGCAAGGAGAGCCCTGATGCATCCCAGGATGGCTCCCAGGCTCCCTCTGGAATCTGAGGCAGGGACAGAGTCCTGGGCAAGCTGAGGAGCTGCTGGCTTGGGACACACGATGGACATGGTGGATCAGGCTCTGTACGTACGTGGTGGCTCAAGGAAGCCCTGATGAAGATCCCATTGCCCCCATCTCCCATGACCCTGGTGCTGAGGGGGGGGATTTGCCAGCTGGTGGTTTTCCCCAGCAGTGGAATGCTGTCAGCCCCAGCTCCTGCTGCCGAAGGGGCTTTTCCCACCCCAGGCACTGTGTGGGTGCATCCCCCCAGCTCCAGCTCTGCCCCCACTGTGCCACCAGTTTCCTCCCAAACGTTATTTTAATCAGCAGCAGCAGCCTGGTCCGTGCCAGGCGCCTGGCTGGGAGCTGTGTCCCTCTGGGAAAAGGGATGGGACCAGGGCTGGAGGTCTGTAGGACACGGGTGAGCTTTGCCCATGGCCACCCAAGGGAAAGAGGGATGAGGATTTAGGGACAAGGACCCTCCTTTCCTTCTTTTACCCCAGAGCCCAGCTGGATTTTTGCATTTCCTGAATCCCTTCAGCTAGAAATAAACGTCTCCTCCGCACAGCTCCTCTCCCGTGTGTCTCTGCAGCCGTGGGGTGGCCAGGGGACAATCCCAGTGTCCCTGTGCTCCTCCAGGGACACAGCTGGATTGGACTCCAGGGGCAGTGGAGCCTTGGGCAGGGTGTTATCAGTCCCCACATCAGCACATCGCTTGCCTTTCCAGGAAACCTTTATCTTACACTCACAGCTGTGGGGCCGAGGGGGGGCCGTGGGGGACTCAGCCCTGGCTCTGGGGTGCAGCTGCTGCAGTGGGGACAGCAGGAAAGCCTGGAAGGTGACAGAGGCTGCTCTGCAGCACATCCCCCCATCCCTGTATCCCTGCAACCTCCTGTATCCCTGTGTTTTATCCCATTATGTCCCCGACTCAGGACAACCTTCCCTTGGGAGGAGTGTGCCACCACAAAGAGCTGATTTTGCCCCAGAGCAGATGTGAGTGTGTGAAGTTTCCTCAATTTTTTTTTTTTTTACTGGGAAAGAACAGGATTGTTCCAAGAGAGAGAAGCATGTTCCTCACTGCTGGAGGGTGCCAGGAGCTGAGGAACCACAAGAGGGACCTTGTGAGTGACAGACGTGTGACCTCTGTGTTAAAAATTACAAATATTGTGCCCAGATGGAGCAGAATGAGACAATTATTTTTTTTTTAAATGTGGTTTTAAATGTTTAACAACACCCTCAGTATGAAAAATGGGAAGTGAGGTGTTTTGTGGGAGGTTAGAAGGTAAAGAAGTGAAGTTTGTCAGTGTGTCGTCTGCTTGGTTTGGAAATGCTTCCCTGGAAAAGAGGAACTCTGGGAGCTCCCCCTCAGCTCTGCTATTCCCCACCGGGGTTCCAGTCTGAGGGTGTATTTTAAGGGAGTGGTTTTGGTTGGAAGGAACCTTAAAGCTTATCCAGTTCTAAACCCTTTCCTTGGGCAGGGACACCTTCCTCTAGCCCAGGATTTACAGCTGTGAGAGAGCACCTGGTGAGTGAAAAAGTGAAATTCTTATAGAAAACACCCCAAAATTCAGGCTGTTCCTCAAACAAGGGCTTCAAAACTTAAGCAGTGACAGGACGGGAGCAGAAACCACCAGTGTTTCCTGGCAACTTTTCCCTTTGGCACCTGCAAAGGGTCCCAGAATTCCAAGAGCAGGAATTTGCCCCTGGATTGTGAAACCAACCCTGACACAGCCGGAGCCAAGGGTGACGCTGCAGCTCTCACACACACATCCAAACCAGGGTCAACAATTCCCACCAAATTCCATGAAATATTAGGCAAAACTAGACATCTTCCCAAAATAAAAATCAAAGTGCAGCCCTTCCAGTACCGGACAGTAGCGGGGTTTTGTCTCCAGAGCGGAGTCTTCCCGAGGGGACAGGAGCCCCCATCCATGTGAGCACTACGGAGTGGCTGGACACCACAGGGACACGTTGTGCGTAACTTGTGCGTATCTTACAGCTTGAGTAGTGCACAGGGTCCTACTACAGCTCGGGAATTGCACTGCAGAGTGAGGAGGGAGGAGGGGAAGCTGCGCAGGCAGTTCAGGCATTGTCGGCTTTTTTGTCGGGTTCTCTGTTTGGATCCTGCTTCAGTTTGTAATCGGCCAAGGCAGCCTTGATGGCGTCTTCAGCCAGCACTGCAAAGCAAAAAAAAAAAAAAAAAAAAGAGGATTTGAAGGACAATTCAAGAGCTTTTAGGACAAAAGATGAGGTAAAAATAAAAGCAGGCAGCGGTGAGCATACAAGACCTGCAGCACAGACTGATCTTAGGAGTAGAATCTGAATGGAATTCCTAAAACACTGAATTCCTATAATGCTGATTTCATGTAATATAACTTCAAATAATAATGTAACTCAGAATCTGACCATTTATTATCAGTCTGCTGAGCCACAGGCTCTAAAACAGTGATCTGAAAATTCTCTAATTAACTCTAAAATCTGAACAAGTTTTCTCTTAAGGACAACATTGTGCAGAAAGCGGAAAACAGCATCCAGAAGCATCTGTGCTACTCCCAGAGTATCTGAGATGCAGGGTTTTTACTTACTGGAGCAGTGCAGTTTGACAGGGGGAAGGCAGAGTTCCTTGGCAATATCTGTGTTCTTGATTTTCAGCGCTTCGTCAACCTGAAACACAGGCAGAGGTGGTCACAGGCCCTGCTGTTTGTGTTTGTTAAGAAGGTTGAATGCTCCAGAGCCAGCAGAATCCACAGGGGAGATCATCTCAGCTGCCCAGGGCAGTGAGGGATGTGGGAATTAAGGAATGTCTGACTGACGTATCAGTGTCACAGACTGTCCCCACTTGGGCTCCTTCGAGTCTGTTCATCCTCTATCAGAACACTGAGGTACGTTTACTGCAGGCAGAAACCAATCTAACTGATCTAAAGATTCTCTAGAACTAAAATTTCTGCCATCAGCCTGGTTTTTGCTCATTACATAAGACACAAAGTAATTTCCTGGTGGAATTGTTCAAAAAACAGACTGTTAAAAAAAAAACCCAAAAAAACATGTGGATGTGGCACTGTGGTCATGGTCAGTGGTGGAGCTGCCAGCGCTGGGGGTAGGGCTGGCCCTGATGTTCTCAGAGGGCTTTCCCAACCTTAATGATTCCCTAATGAGAAAGGCAATTATTACCCTACAACTGAAGCCTTGACTCTGCTGGCAGTCGCTTCTACAGCACAAAGTAGTGCTGTAGAAGTGCCCTGGAGGGAACTTCCTATGTGATCCCAACAGAGAACACAAGCACGTGGGAAGCTCTGCAGCTTTCCCGGAGCTCCCTCACCGTTTTCCCTTTGACCCACTCGGTGGCCAGCGAGCTGGAGGCGATGGCCGAGCCGCAGCCGAAAGTTTTGAAGCGGGCGTCCACGATCCTGCCGTTCTCGTCCACTTCCACCTGCGGGAGCATTTTGGGGACAATTCAGCACCCGGTTCAACTTGGTCAGGTCCCCCCAGCCGGGCCCCCGGGGAGCGGGACTGGCCCTGCCCCGGGCACAGAGCACGGGCAGGGCGGGCATGAGGGAAGCCCGTGCTGTCCCCTGAAGGGACACGGGCACATTTGACCCTCACAACAGCCCCATATGACCCCACCCAGGTGCCAGCGGGTCCCCAAGGTCACCTGAAGCTTCATGACGTCGCCGCAGGCCGGGGCGCCCACCAGGCCGGTGCCCACATTCTTGGCATTGCGGTCGAGGGAGCCGACGTTGCGCGGGTTCTCGTAGTGATCCACCACCTGGCAAGACACAGCGTCAGCGAGGGCCACCCCGCGTCCCCCCGTCCCTCCCCGTGTCCCGCTTGCCCCTCACCTTCTTGTGGTAGCCCATAGCGGCCGGGGCCGGCCCGGGCCGGGGCCGCAGCAGCACCGCCCCCGCCGCCCTCAATGCCGCCATCTTAACTGAGGGGAGGGGCAGCGTCTGCCTCCCTTTTATAACCTCGGGAGAGTTGGCCACGCCCTGGTCACGCCCCGCCACGCCCCTTCGTCTCTGGAGCCCGCGTCTTAACCCGGTCATACATTGGCCGCGCAGACGGCGCGAACGCTGGAGGCCGCCTGTGGGACGGGCCTCGCGCTGTGGCTAAAGCGATCAGTAAATCAATAAAAGATGGAAATGGCCTTTCAATCGCGCCAGGGCTTTTATCGCGCAAGCTCGTGCGTGTCCGGCACGCGGCGCCACACTCAATATGGCGGGCGAGCGGAGCCGCGCACGCCACGGACCCTCCCGGAGGCCCCCTGATGGCCACACAGCGGGGTGTCCGCGATGCTGCCTGCGCCACGGGCCAGAAGACAAAGGGTCACGTCGCGGCCACACTGGGCACAGCACGGCCCCGGTGCGCGGACGAGCGCGGGGAGGGGCGGGCCGAGGATCCCGGTTCTTCCCGCCCGGTTCGGCCGGCGGCGGGGCGGGGCTGCGGGACGGGCGGCGCGGGGGCAGCTACGGCGGCCGGAGGAGCGCGGCCGGCGGTGAGCGGAGCTGCATAAGATGGCGGCGGCGGGAGCTGAGGCGGCGGCCGAAGAGGAGAAGCAGCTGCCAGAGGGAGACCCCGAGTCGGGCGGGGACTCGGACGATGAGGGCGACTCGGACTCGTCTGGAGACGGCGAGGATGAGGAGAAGGAGAACGAGGCCGAGATCCAGCGGCTGGAGGAGCAGGTGGGCCCGGCGGGGCAGCGGGTGTGGCGGGAACGGAGGAGAATCCGTGTCTGCCCCGGCAGTTGGGTATGGGAACTGTCAGGACGTGAATTTCCGTGGTCTTTGAGAATTTCTTCCAACTCGGGATATTCCGTGATTTTATGCCGTGAATATTTGGAGTTTGAGATGGAAATTGAGCAGCTTGGGTGGTTTTTTTGAGAGAGAAATAAGAGGGAAGTCCTAGTAGGCAGTTTGTGTTCATTGAGAAATCTGAGCCGGCTGCCCGCGGTTTTTTATTGCCTTTAAAGAAGTTAAAACATAATTATCTCTGTGAGCAGAGACGGCCAGAGCTGTGTCAGGGGTTAGGTTAAATCTGAGGAAACTCATGATCACACCATGAGAATTCCGCGATTTGTTTTCCGGCTTCTTCGCGCCCATCACTCAACACTGCTTTTAAACTGGATTTTTAATTTTTTTTTTTAAGCTTTCCATCAATGCTTTTGACTACAACTGTCACTTGGATCTGATCAAGCTGCTCCGGCAGGAGGGAGAGCTGGTGAAGCTCCGCAGAGCTCGGCAGAAGATGAGTGAGCTCTTCCCCCTCACTGAAGGTACCGAGCATCCTCTGCCCTCCACAGCTCACTGTGTAGTGTTGTTTTAGTAGTAAAATTACACATTTGGGCCAGTTTTTATCACCCTCAGTTACAGAATGTGATCCAGAGCTCAGCAAACTCGTGCTAAAAATGACATTTCATAGTCAGGCAGCAAATAAAATTCCCTGTTGGTGGAAATCGTGGATGCTTGAAGTGAGGATTTCTCTTTTTACTCATAACTCAGAGGCAGTGGAAATATTGCAGAGGCTGCTCTGCCAGTGTGGGATTTTATTCTTAGAAAAGGGATGGGCAGGCCCTGGCACAGGGTGCCCAGAGAAGCTGTGGCTACTTCTGGATCCCTGGAAGTGTCCAATGCCAGCTTGGAGCCATCTGGGATAGTGGAAGATGTCCCTGCCCATGGAAGGAGGTGAAATGGGATAATTTTCAAAGTCCTGAGAAATTCCAGCTTCTCCCTTTAGTAAAAAGCTGCTTGTTTAGCACCAATTTAAAAGTTCTCCACTCAACTTTTATTTGAAATTAATTAGGAATTGTGGAGGTTAAAAATCCTCTCTTTGCCTTGCTCCCCCTCCTTTATTTTAAGTCTGTTGCTAAAAACTCCCCAAGTGGACATAACTTATCATATCTGAATATTAGTGATGTGTTCTAAATTTTTTTCCTTTCAGAAATTTGGCTGGACTGGTTGAAGGATGAGATAAAAATGGCTTCAGAGATCTCTGAGAGAGAGAAGGTTTATGAGCTGTTTGAAAGAGCTGTCAAAGATTACATCTGTAAGCCATTCCAAAATACTCTAAAATGGGTTGTGTTGCATCCAGATTTTTTTTTTTGTAGGAAAGTTTCTTCTGTTATAAGGGAGAAATTGGGTCAAAATTTCAAATTAATTTCTAAAATCTGAATGAGAAATGGAAGGGATCTCCATTCCTCAGGAGATGCGGTAGCTTAAAATTTTTGGGAATAAATCCCCGAGTTCTTTGGGAATTGGGGAAAAGAGCTGGAGAAATGAAGCCTGAGGAAGTTGAAGGAATATGGAGGTAAATCCCTCTCAAAAGCTGCTTACAAAATGTCACATCAGTGACATTACCTGGTGTTAGTGATCCCTCAGGAAGAAGGAATGGAGGTGAAGAAGTGAGGAATTATCCTCTGGGTTTGCTGGATTGCATTTGGGGTTTGGAAGCACTTCTGGAACCCAGGGCAGTCCCAGCCTGGGGGTTCCTGACTGGAATTTGGTGTCCCTGGGAATGGTGCCAGGCATCCAGCACTGCTCTCCCATCTCCCCTTCACCTTCAGGCTTCAGCTGCTTCAGGAGATGCTGCCCGGGGATTTTCAGGAGTTTGGAAAGAGGAGGAGGAGCTGCTTTAATCTGAATTATTCCAGAATGTGACAGCTGTGTGGTCCCAGCTCAGGGAATGGGAATTTGCTGTTCAGGCATCTTGGTGCATCCCTGCTGTGGTTTGTGTGGCAGAGGTGACAGGCAAGGCCAGTCCCTGTCAGCAGAGCCACAGCAGTGACACCATTCAGAAGGAAACTGTGGCTGCTGCTGCAGCATAAATACAATTCCCAAATATTACAACTTTTTTTTTTTTTTATCAAAAAGAACATCGCCACGTGCTTTTATATTTACATGCAGCATTTGGGGAAGCAGAGCTGCATTTTCTTGCTATTATTTTTGAAAAGATCAGATCACCAGTTTCTCCTAACCTTGTTTAGGTCCTGAAATCTGGCTGGAATATGCCCAATATTCCATTGGAGGCATTGGTCAGGAAGGAGGCATCGAGAAGGTCCGGTCCATCTTCGAGCGGGCTCTGACGGCCGTGGGGCTGCATGTGACCAAGGGCACGGCCCTGTGGGAAGCCTATAGGGAATTTGAGAATGCCATCCTGGAAACAGCACAGGTGAGCCCCTTCCCCTGGGCTCCCATCCCAAAAAAATGCTGTGGTGCAGCTCCTGGAGTCACCTGGAGCTGTCTCCTCCCTCTCGTGTCTCAGTTGTTTCGTCCTGTGCTTCAGGAAAATTCTGTGGATTTGGCTGATACAGTAATGGATTTGTGTTTCAGTAAAATCCTAAAAATCCAGGTGCAGAGTTTGGCTCTGCTGCTGACTGAGGTGCCAAGGACAGCTTTAAATTGAAATGTTTCATTATTAAACAATGTTCTGTGGCTTTTTCTGCACTGAGTCAATCAAGTTTAAATTTCTAGACTGTTCAGCTTTAAACTTCCTCATTCTTCCACAATTTCTGGGTGAGGGTATTTTATCCACAGACTTTTGGATGAGGGTATTTTATCCCTGGAATGTAGTTTGATATCTGCAAAAAAGATCTTTCCAAGATGGCCAGAATGGGAATATTTCCTTATTTTTGATAATTTGCTACATAAGACATGGGAGTTAAAAGATGTCCCTGCTCATGGTGGCAGTGGGAATGATTTGGTCTTTAAAGGTTCTTTTCAGCCCCTAACAAAGGAGTAACAGGAGGATGTTCTTTCATTCCCAAACACAATTAAGGCCGGGAAGTTTTAGATCCTCTCCCCACACCCCAGGGATTTACTGAAACCCTCTTTGGCAGCATGGTGGGGTTGTGAAATGGCAGAGTCACCTGCTGCTTCCTTGTTCTCAGGTGATCATTTCCCTGTGCTTGTGTCAGCTTTCAGTCAGGAATACTCTTGCCATTCATCCACCTTCCAAAGGGAGCAATTCCCAAGTTTTAGCTTTCCCGACAGCGACTGAAACGCAGTGTGTGCCCTTCAATGATCGTGTATTCACTTGGATCTCAGCTCATAAACAATTCCCTCTCACGTCCATCAGCTGGAGCTGAAGGGAATGGATTGAATTTCCCTGTTTTTTTTTTTTTGCTTGCAGCCAGCCCCTGGCAGCATTCCATCCCCGGAGCAGCAGCAGGTGCTGTGCAGCCAGCTCGAGAAGATCCACACGCTCTTCCGGCGCCAGCTGGGGATCCCACTGCTGGGTAAGGGCTGGGACACAGCAGCTGGGTGATGCTCCAGGCATCAGGATTCTCCTGGCACAGCCACACCAAGTGCAGCTGGAGGTTTTGGATGAGGCACAGATCCCTCTTGGGTCAGGAATGTTTGGATTTGTTGGAGTTTGGGTCAGCTGGTTGAGAATTTGAGGATGGTTAAAGTGCAAGCGAGGAGCTCAAAATGTGACTTAAAAATGAGGAGTTCAGCTGTGATTGCTGCATAAAATCCTTGGTAGGGAGTATCTGGCAGCTGGATTGTTGGAATTCCGCCTTCTCTAGCTCTTGCTTTAGCTCTTTGTGTCCCTCTTCGTGCTCGTGGGAGAAAGTTAAGCACAGTTCATTTGACTTCATTTCTATCTGGAAAGAATTTGGGTTTGCTTTCCTCTAAAGCCTTGGGGAAAATTTTGCCACTTAGGTTTTCTAATTCCAAATGAGCAGCTTTAATATAACTTGCCCTGAGTTTGTTATAGAGCACTGTGTAAGCTGAAGTGTCTAAATCCTTTAAGAATGCAGAAATGTGACAGTAAGGTTCAAAAGAGGATAAAAATTCAAATATTTATTCTGAATCAATTATAATTATTATATAAATAAAAATAGGAATTTGTCTTAGAACTATCCATAGGTGGAAACGAATTTTTAGTTTCATGAGTGCATCAATGATGGGATTTTCATGTTTTAATAGACATGGAGGCTTCATAT